GTTTACGTCGGAGACCCGGTCCGTTGCCGATTGGACCTGCGAGCCGCGGAAACCAAGGAAGCTAAACTACAGCTGTGGGATTTGGGAGCTGTTGCAACCGGGACCTGGTCTGTCACCGTTGGGGCTGCGAACTTCTGGACCGAGTGAATCGTGGGACCTGGAGGTTGTTGTCACTAGTCCTCGACTAGATTTGGCTAGGCCTCGGCTAACAACAAGCTAACAACATAAGCTAACAACACTAGCCTGTGAACCTCGTGGCTGGATCCTGTGCTTCTGAGAGTTGAGACCAATAATCCAGAAGTATCGTGAGTAATGCCGAGCAAACACAGAGATAAGAGACAAGTGTCGGAAAGTAATTCAGAAGATATGGAGGAAGTTAAAAAATCTTTGAACTTTTTGAGTGCTGAAGTGACTAAATTGAGTGCAAATATGACTAAATTATCAGCTAAATGTGATTTACTAACAGGACTGTCTGAAGAAGTGAGACAATTGAAAGAACTGATGACTAGTAAAGACAAAAAAATAGCTGAACTGGAACAGAAAGTTGACGACATGGAACAATACACAAAAATAGACAACTTCGTGATCACTGGACTGGAAGTTAGGAACCGAACTTATGCAAGAGTTGTTGCTGGTACTAACACAGCAGAAGATGCACCACAGGAAGAACTACAGACTCTGGAGGAGCAAGTAGTGAATTTTTTACAAAGCAAAGACATTGACATCGAACATGAGGATATTTCAATCTGTCACACCCTGCCCAACAAATCAGATAAAGCCAAATCATCCATAGTCATCAAGTTCATTAGCAGGAAATCAAGAAACCATGTAATAATGCAAGCAAAAAAACTGAAGGGAACAAATGTTTACATAAATGAACATCTAACTAAAAAAAATGGAAACATTGCACGTGAAGCAAGGTGGTTGAAAAAACAGAAAAAAATAGCATCAACTTGGACAAGAAATGGAAACATCTGGATCAAAATACAGGAAGGATCTCAGGCTAAAATAATAAAAGACCTGAAAGATCTGGAAAGACTAAAATAAGCTCAGGAAATGATAGATGATAAATCATTGACACAACTTCACAAGCAATAAATAATCAAAATATAAAACAAACAAATACATTATAATATGGCAACATACGAAGACTCAGAGTTTAAAATATACAATGTTGAAGATGCGATTGATACAATTTTTTTCCCTGAAATACAAGACTGTGAATATTATAATGAAGAACAGTTTAATGACATCAATATAACTAATGGAGGTCTCTCTATTATTCACTTTAACAGTAGAAGTTTAAATGCAAATATATCCAAAATAACAGATTATTTAAAACAGCTAAACAGAACCTTTACAATAATAGCACTGTCAGAGACATGGCTCAACGATGAAAACACAACTTATGTTCACATGGAAGGGTATGAATTATATCATGTGAACAGAAGCAACAAAAGAGGTGGTGGAGTGGCTCTATTTGTTAAAAATGAAATAAAATGTAAATTAATTAATGAAATGTCAATAGTTGTTGATAATATCATGGAAATAATAACAATAGAAATAATAAACAAGAATGATAAAAACATATTAATAAGTTGTGTATATCGATCTCCAGGATCAAATATAGAAATATTCACTGATAAAATGGTACAACTATTGGACAAGAGTTTTAATAAAAACATTTTTTTGTGTGGAGACTTTAATATTGACCTGGGAAATAAAACAGATTCAAATAACATCAGTACATTTACAAATTCATTGTATAGTTTAAATCTTTATCCGTTAATATCAAAACCAACAAGAATTACAACTCATAGTGCTACAATAATCGATAATATTTTCACAAATGTAACAAATGGGGATGTGATGGGAGGTATTTTAACGAGTGATTTGAGTGATCACTTACCAGTTTTCATGATTTATAAAAATGATCAAAGCATTACAAAAGAAATTACAATTTAGGAAAAAACAATAAACACATCAAAAAAAGCAATGGACAAATTAAAAGATGATTTACATAAACAAAGCTGGAAAGACGTGTATGTTGATGATGTGAACAGATCATATGATGAGTTTATGAATATTTTAGGAGCTCTGTATGAAAAGAATTGTGTGCAAAATAATTGTACAAAGAGAAATGTTGTTGACCAACCATGGATGACGAAAGGGTTGAGAAATGCTTGTAAAAAAAAGAATTATTTGTATACATGTTTCTTGAAATTGAGAACACAAGAGGCTGAAGAGAAATATAAGAAGTATAAAAATAAATTAGTAGCGATTATAAGGAAACACAAGAAGGAATATTATAGTGATTTATTAAATAAAAGCAATGGTGATATGAAAGCAACATGGCAAGTAATAAATAGTGTTCTGAAAAGTCATAAAGCAAAAACAGTTATTTCACAATATTTTTTGAAAGATGACGATGAAATCCATGATGAAAATGAAATTGTAAATGGATTTAATCGTCATTTTGTGAACGTTGGATCAAGCCTTGCAGCTAAAATACCAAAAGTAGACAATAATGTGAACCATTCAGTTATAGGTTGTGACAACAGTATTTTTCTTAATGGAACTGACAAAGAAGAAATAATGAATGTAGTAAAAAATCTTACAGATAAGAGATCAAAAGACTGGGTGGACATGGATATGATGTTTGTAAAGGACATAATGAGTTATGTTATCGAGCCGTTTACATATATTTGTAATTTATCATTTTCAAAAGGAATATTTCCAGACAATATGAAAGTAGCTAAGGTAGTTCCTCTCTTTAAAAATGGTGATAAATGTGTGTTCAATAATTATAGACCAATATCCTTATTACCACAATTCTCAAAAATTCTAGAAAAACTGTTTGTGACCAGATTAGATAAATTTATTACTAAACAAAACATTCTAAGTAGCAGTCAGTATGGGTTTAGAGCAAAAAACTCTACATCAATGGCTCTCATGGAAATAATGGAACAAATAACTACTGCTGTCGATCAAAAACAGTATTGTGTTAGTATTTTTGTTGATTTAAAAAAAGCATTCGATACTATTGACCACACTATTCTCCTTGAAAAATTAAATAAATATGGTATAAGAGGACCAGCATTACACTGGGTATCTAGCTATTTAAAAGATAGGAAACAGTTTGTACAAATAAATGGTGTAAGATCTGACTTGTGCAATATCACTTGTGGAGTTCCTCAAGGCTCTGTACTTGGACCAAAGTTATTTATTTTATATGTGAATGACTTAGTGAATGTATCAGGACTCCTCAAATGTGTCCTTTTTGCAGATGACACCACATTTTTTTGTTTGGGTAAAGATGTAAAACGGATGTTGGAACTGATGAAGACAGAATTTGATAAAATACAAACTTGGTTTAAAATTAATAAATTATCATTAAATTTAGATAAAACTAAATACATGATATTTAGTAACAAAAAGAAAACTGTTGACGATCCATTTAAAATTGAGGGTGTTGAGATTTGTAGAGTTAATGAGATGAAATTTTTGGGTGTAATCATTGATGAACAGCTAACATGGAAAAATCACATAAATTCTGTAAGAACAAAAATATCTAAATCTATTGCAGTACTATACAAAGTCAGGGAATTATTAAATGATAAAGCTCTGTACATGTTGTATAACACAATCATTGTTCCACATTTAATCTATTGCATTGATGTTTGGGGGAAAGCGTGTAAAACATTTACAAAACCTATTTTTATTTTACAGAAAAGAGCTGTAAGAATCATCACCAGAAAGCATTACAGTCACCCATCAAGCACATTATTTCATCAACTGAAGTTATTGAAGTTCCATGATTTGGTAGATTATAGTATTTTATCAGTTATGTATAGGGCTCAAAATAACACTTTACCATTAAATATCCAAAGAAATTTTGTTAAAAGACAAAGTTGTTACAATCTTAAGGGGATAGAAATATTTGTCAAACCAAAATTCAGAACTTGTCTGAAGGGAAGGTCTACCTCAATCCAAGGAGTTGGATTGTGGAATGGTCTAGAGAGTGATGTAAAAAATGTCAAGTCAATGTGTACATTTAAGAAAAAGATCAAATCTAGATTGTTAAAAAAGTATATATGAAGTAGCTTAGTGTGTGTTTTGTATTAGAATTAGAAAAATTAGAAAGTTATTCATTTTGTTCTGTTACTTGAAAATTAATATGTCTGAAATAATTGTTTGAAAAAAGGGGCAGATAAAATAAGATTTTTTCTTCTTTCTGCTGCCTTTCATTTTAAATTTTTTTTGTATCTTTTTATATATTGTTATGGAATTGTTTTGTACTTTTTTAAAATGAATAAACTTCATACCATACCATACCATACCATAAAAACAGCAATTTGTACAAAAATGTAGTGAATGCTGAACGATGGCTAAAATCTGCTGAAGAATAAATGAAAGGAATTGATCAAGTTAACAGAAGAGAAACTAAAATAAGCAAAAACTGTAACGAAAAGTTAATATTAACAAAACTGTAGCTACAGACTAAAATTAGCAATTCATAGCTAAAAGTTAAAATCAGCTAAACAATAACGAAAAAGCTAAATTTATTCAGTCTCTACAAGATGCATAAGAAAACAAAACTCAATCAAGTATGATTCAGAGAGGTCAGAGAGAACAATCGTTTTAAACAACCAAAGTGATCTCGTTTTTTTTTTCATGGAGATTTTTAGAAATAGTTACATCCATCCATCCATCCATCCATCCATTATCTTTACCCGTTTATTCCATTTTGGGTCATGGGGGTCGCTGGTGCCCATGTCCAGCAATCACTGTGCGAGGGGCGGGGTATACCCTGGACGGGTCGCAAGTCCATCACAGGGCCACATAGAGACAAATGAGACAAACAACCATTCACTCTCTCACTCACACCTAGGGACAATTTAGAGTTACCAATCAGCCTAACATGCATGTTTTTGGTCTGTGGGAGGAAACCGGAGCACCCGGAGAAAACCCACGCATGCACGGAGAGAACATGCAAACTCCACCCAGAAAGGCCCCTGGACTGGGGTTTGAACCAAGGACCTTCTCGCTGAGAGGCAGCAGCTCTACCAGTTGCGCCACCGTGCTGCATAGTTACATACAGTGTTTTTCAAAAAGTATAAAAGTTACAACAGGTAAAAGTCAAAGTGCATATGAATGGGTAAAACAGTACAAAGTATTTAAAAAACTTCACAGAAAAAAAACTGTAAATGAAAAAATCTGCAGTGTGAATGCTGAATCAGCATATCCGTAACAAGTGTGTTAAAACAGGACAGGCACATAATTATTGTAATAAAAGCTGATGAGGTGAAAGCTCTTCCAATGAGTTGAGCTTTGAGTTTAGCTTTAAAAACAAAAGTCAGTACCTCACACTCAAATGGGAAGCTGGGTCTTGTTTTAGAGATTCTTGGAATAACAATCAGGCTGCTGAGAGCGAGGACCACCATTAGCACCAACATTAGTATATTATCTGTGAAAAAATAAAAAAAAATAACCCCAGAAACCTTTCTTAATCATTTTTACTACATAGAGGTTTGTCATTTTCTATTTCAGTAAACTTTGCTAAAACAAACAAACAAACAAACAAAAATCTTCTGAATGAAAGTAAAAAACAAGGGTAAATTAATTTATTAATTAATTAAAGGCCTAGAATCCCTTGAAAGCATGTACATTGCTCACTTCCTCCACAGCAGAATTTTAAACTAAGTTGAGACATAGCGGTGTTTTAGCTGTTTTGATCAAACATTGAAAACAACTTAATGAAGATCTTGTACAGCATGTGAAGTCTAACGTGACGAGTTAGCACTTGTGTTGTGAACAGACTCTCAGCTTGACTGAGATGCAGCCATGTTGGTTCCAGGTAATGTCGATTAGCTGTGGTGACCTTCTTGAACTGCACTAACTCCAAAAGTTAATCAGTTGTACATGTACATGCAGTGAATACTTTATGCAAGTTTTATCAGAGAGTGAAAAGTCTAGAAAATGGAAATGGGATGTGAAGAAACTTATTTTGGACCAATTCTGTCTGTTGAGGAAGTCTGCAGGAAGAGGTTGAGAAACTTTCTGTATTTATGCACTTTCATTATTCTACTAAACATATACCAGATGCACAACTATTGTCTTTTAATAATGGATACATGTTGGTTTAAATAAAAGAAAAAGATCAATTTGACCTTCTGTTCTTGTTTAAGTGTTTAGCATGGATGTTTCTTTGTGTCTCTCTGTCTGACCAAAGTAGAAGCTCTCTAAAGTTTAAAAATCTAATTATTCTTGTTTTAAAGCTCATTTTGCTTTGTTGTGACAATTTTTGGATGTATGTGTATTTCAGATACGGGCAGCAGATGTGGACCCCAGAGGTCTGTTGTGGGTTCTGGATGAAGAGATGGTGACACCACCGTCCAGTGAAAGCAGCACAGTGGAAAGAGTCAGCCAGTATTACAGTGGCACTGGTAAAAAGCATAAAACATCCAGACGCAGACACACTTAGGAGCTGTTCAGACCTGTCTGTTAAGATCTGACTTGAGTGATTCAACTGCAAGTTTGTTAAAATGTGGCCATTTTTACAATTCAGTAAAGTTACTGGCAGGCAGGCCTGTCCTCTTTTTACCCATCAAGTACAACATCTGACTTATGGTGTCATTTTTTATAGTCACTAACAACAACATGAACAAAAATGCCAACCCAACACAAAAGTGTGAAACCAACAGGAACAACCCATCTGAACACATAACCTGAGAAAATCCACCCGTTTCGTTCTCAAGACTCTCTTACGTTCAAGCAGGGATGAACTGGGACAATAATCCAGGCTGGGAATTTAATACCATCCCAGGCCACCTCCCGATTAACGCAAACCACCAAGACTGAGTTAAGTTGAGCATACCTTGAACACCATATGACACCATATGTGTACTTTGTTATTTAGCACCACAATGGCCATTAGTGTCAGAAACATTTGCGATGGGGGGGGGGGGGGGGGTACTGTGGTGGGGGGCTCTGGGGGTTCTCCCCAGAAAATTTTGAATAAAGTAGATGCCATTTCCTGCATTCTGGTGTATTTTAACAATTGTGACAAGAACCAGTTTTGGGGATTTGAATGAGACTACAGGCAACAGGAATGTTTAAAGTGTTTTTTAATAAGAAGCTGCTGGTGGAAGTCAAAGTCCCAGGGCCAAGTCAACCTGTAGAGACAGAAAAGTTAGTAAGGAGGAGTTCTCTGACAGAGGTCTGACAGATATGCAGACAAGCACGAACTTTCACTGACTGTGATGGGACTCCTTGAGGGAGTTGGATGGGATGACGTCACCGTTCCTGAAGATGGGTCAGCTTTGAGGCAGAGCAAAGTAGTGTATAGTTTTAGGGGAAATCCAAAAAGGAGGTCCAGAGAGACAGGCAAGGGTCATACACAGATGGTCAGAGGTCCGAAGTCAAACTTGAGATGAGATCCAGAAGACGTGATCGTTCTAGAGCAGGGGTGTCAAACTCCAGACCTCGAGGGCCGGAGTCCTGCAACTTTTAGATGTGTCTCTGATGCCACACAGCTGAATCATATGACTGACTTAGCTACTCAGTGTGCAGTCAAGTTCTCCAAAGTCCTGCTAATGACTTCCTTATTTGATTCAGCTGTGTGGCATCAGAAAAGTTGCAGGACTCTGGCCCTTGAGGACTGTAGTTTGACACCCCTGTTCTAGAGGAAGCAGGGGTTGTTACCATGAGGAGAGCAGATAATCCAGGACAGACGACGGACAAGCAAGACAAGGAATTTGTGAAGCAGGCATGAGGTCAGAACCAGGAAGACAAACAAGAATGTAGCATGAATGTTGGACATTTACTCACTGTGAGGATTTCAATAATCTGGCACTGGATGATTGAGAATACGAAGGTTAAGTAGGACTGAGAACAAGTGAGTGGCATGAAGGCTGATTGCAGTGGAGACAAACAAGGGGACGTGGCATGAAGTGAAAGGAGCAGGTAGAGTTGAAGAATGGGTGATGGGCAACATGGAGCTTCGTAACATAAACAAAGGCATGAGGAACAGAAACTATGGCAGGCTGGGGCAGAGACGTGACAGGTTGTTTAACATGTAGTTTTACCTACATAAGAAAACACTTGATTCAGTAACTATTTTAGAGTTAATGTCGCAACAAGAAGTACCCTGACCAACAGCTCTCCTTGTGTGAATAGAGTATGCTCCGCTTCTCTCAGCATTCTAGTCACAATCCAAGAACCACAGTGTAGCCTAAGTTAACTTTTAGGCAACAAAACTCACTAGCCGATATGACACGATAATAATAATCACTCCTTTTTACCAATGGCCTAGCATAAAGCAATATGATCATCATCCATCATTAGTAACTTAAAATACACAATTAAAACTACAGTAATCGGCTAGATCTACTGTCACCTTACCCAGTTGTAGGGTCAAGAGACAAACATGTAACATTAACACAGTATGAACAATATTCAGGAATTGTTTCTATAAGAACATTATCAAATATTTTACATGAGCGGTAAGGTCGCTTCGCCCACGAGGAAATGTAACACAGGGTGAGCTAACCTCAGACAAACTAACAAACAACATAATTGTAATGGTGGAGGTAGTGAAGCTCACAGTGTTACTTGAGACATTTAATGAGGCATTTCGACCAACATTAAGGCAAAGAAGACAGGAAAAAATAAAATAAAATAAAAAATTCCAATCTACTAATACTTTCAAATAGTTACTGCAGTGGATGTTTTCATGCTGCAGAGCGACAGGACAATAACTCACAGTGAAATTCAGTATGTAAGAGCGTAAATTTTACATTACACAACCTATTAAACACTTTGTACAAAATCAGTTTAGTTTTAACAAAGACTAAACTTACGCAACCAGACGTTACAACATATATCTACATATAAAACACACAAAACACAACTAGCTTTAAGAATTAACCTTTAATTTAACCATTAAGTGTACAATGTAATTATGACAGAAAATGGAGGATTTACCTGCAGTTATCTTTGTACAGATGAACATGTGGTACTTCCTGTTTATAACTTGTAATCAGCTGCTCATGGGGTGGGCTGCTGGCCTTTATCATCCTTTACATTTTCCCAAACTTTGTTTAGTTTTTGAAATGGAATAAAGTGTATCCACCTTCCAAACACTCAGGGTAACATGTGTCTGAATTATATGTCATAATCCATCCATCCATTATCTTTTACCAGCTTCTTCCATTTTGGGTCACGGGGGTCGCCAGTGCCCATGTCCAGCAATTACTGTGCGAGGGGCGGGTACACCCTGGACAGGTCTCCAGTCCATCACAGGGACACATACAAACACACCCTACACACAGGGAAAAAAACAACCATTCACTCTCTCACTCACACCTAGGGACAATTTAGTGTTACCAATCAGCCTAACATGCATGTTTTTGGTCTGTGGGAGGAAACCTGAGTACCCGGAGAAAACCCACATACTATGCACAGAGACAACATGCAAACTCCTACATGTCATAATTTCCCATCTACTCATTTTCACTAATTGATTATTTATATGTATTGGCTATGTTAATATAACAACAAATATGTTCTTAATCTCATCAGGTGTTAAAAATAAAGGTCAAACAAAATATTATAATACAAGGATTTTAATATTCAGATAATTTATTAGGGGAGTTTGTGAAGGGTACACAAAATCTGAATTCCTGGACATTTCAGCATTAAACTTTTTTTTCAGGTCCTGATCATTAACCATATTCTAAAATTTGCAATATGCTTTGTAAAAAACTTAAAACATTTGTTCTATTCTATTAAGTTTTGGCCCACTTAGGTCCCTCAAAGTGGAACTAACCTCATTAAGCTGTGCTGATAGGCTGCAGAGTTTTCACTTTTCACCACTAATGTTTCTGTCTCACCTGTTCCCTTGAACAAACATTAATTTACTGCACTTTGCTGCATCAGCGGTCAGTGCTGTTCTCTTTTTCATCCTCTTTCTCTGCTCCACCTTCTCTCATCTTTGGTTATCTCTGTCATTCTGTTCTACAAGCTGTATGACCCCAACTGGAGAAAAGATGGACGTACAGAAGTGCGTGCTCTGCGTATGAACATATAACCCTTGTGAGCACGAGTCCATGGGGGCAGGCATGCAACATGTGTGACAAAAATAAAATCTTTGTCTCTAGACAGAAACAGAAGGAGCTCTAGTTAGTTAGGACTTTACTCATCTCAGTCAGAGACTACAGGATGAATTTGTTTAATAACTGACAGGACAATATGAACATAATCAATACATATAATTAGTCTGCTGTAACAGATAGCTTCACAGAGAGAGGGGGGGGGGGGGGGGAGCTTCAGTGAGACCTGAGTGCACCCTGAAAAGAGCAGCTTGTTTATCTGAACCTAGCCTTTAGTCCAGCTCCTCGATGACCACTGAGCCAACCAGGCCACCGGGAAATGTCCTCCCAATGGCCAGTTCACCACTGCGTTCAAGTACATGTAATTTCAATAATTCACTATGAATTTGAACAGTAACCCCCAAAACTTACTGTTTCTGTAAAACTGATTCATGTAATAAAACCAAAACACAACTTTAAAATTGAAAATTATAAATGTAAACCTAAATGGGGTTTTTAACCTTCATTTTTTTGAGCAATTACAATTTCAGTGTGAATTTAAAGGTTGCATTTGCATGCAACACAAATCTTCATGTAGTAAAAATACAAAATTCTTATTAAGGCCTTCTCCTTTTAATTCCATCCACTTTATATCAGCATTATGATTGGTTAATTTTCCTGTCAGTTATTAAACAAATTCATCCTGTAGTCTCTGACTGAGCTGAGTAAAGTCCTAACTAACTGGAGCTCCTTCTGTTTCTGTCTGGAGACAAAGATTTTACATAATCTGACTGGATGTATGTATTTTCAATAAATAAATAAAAAAAGTTTTGCTCAGCTGCAAAGTAGTTTACAGAAAATAAGAGAAATTAGCTAAAAAATAAGAAAAAAAACTACTACACATTGAAAAAACTTAACATTTCAAATGTACTGAATTCTTAGGCATTCTATGAAGGTGTTGAAGGCCCTGAGGGTTCCCCACTGCTTACAATACATTCAGAAATCTGAACTTTGATTATTTTCACATTAACACATTTCAGAAACATTTCACTCACGTTTTTGTCAAGATATCTCATCATGAGCTTAAATTCCTAACTGTCAGAGGGAAGACGGAAGAACTGTAGCTCTCTGTGGTTCACAAACCACAGTACAGCACATAGTGACCAAAGTGGGTCCACAGACATTTTTATTGAGAAGACTTCTGAAAAACAATTCATTAAATTTTTTTTCCCCAAGAAACAAAACAAAGGAAAACATATCTAAAAAAGTTAAATCTGGTCCTCTGGACATTCAAAAAAAAAAAAAAAAGCAAAACAACAAAACAAATGTAGAAACGTTTCGGCTTTCATTTAAAG